GTGTAAATTAACGGTGTTACTTGATGAATACATGCGCTTTTGAAAGTTCATTACTCTTATTCTGACACTCCCACTCAATTTGAAGACAGTCCAGTGGGGCATCCAGGAGCTCGATGACGAAGTGAAAGAATTGCGAGAAAAGGTATCGCGGATGAAGGAAGAGACGCAGAAAATTTCTTCTGCGCCATTACCCAGCGCCACCTCGCATGCCACTGCGGGTAAAGATATCGTCGAAACACCTCGCTCCCCTCCCGAAATATGAATACCGTGCCCCCCCGTCCTCCTTCAAGAAACGGGATTGGGTCTCCTTCCACAAGGCCTGCGAACTCCTCAGTTCCTCGACCTTCTTCGAGAAACGCCACCAATACACCAGCAAGCAACATGCCCTCGTCAGCGCCCATTGCTCCTTCAGCCAATGTACGACCTTCAATACTGCGTTCACCTTCAATGAATGTCCCTGCTTCTGCGAACCCCTCAAGTACTCCGCCTTCTTTTCCTCGTCCTCCTTCCCGAAACGCGGGCACCACGACAATTGTTGTTCCTATAAGCAACCCAGCCCCGTCTGTTCCTCCTTTGCCAAATCCCTCTTCATCAGTTTCAAGAACTCCCTCGAGGAAAGCGCCCCCCTCGATCTCTCATGCACCTCTAAGGCAAGAATCTTATTCGACTACCAATTCTCCTAAAAACAATGCCTCTTCTTCAGTTGCTATTCCTTTGGAACGAAAGGTTGCCCCTTCGGTAATCGCTCTGTTCGAAGGCACGAAACTTACTCCGGCGGTTGCGACTCCCATTGTTCCCTTGCGGGACGCCTCTTCCGTGCCGACCAAAGCGGGATCGCTACCGCCGACGGCTCCCGTCAAATCAGCCACATTGAGGACAAAGGCAAATACAAATCTTCCAGAACGGCGCGGTCCGAGGCGGTTGCAGCGTCGGGGAAGGTCCTGACACTTCCATTCCTTGCCATTCGGTGAGCACTTCTCCCCATCTCGCCATCTTTTCGACTCCAATATTCTACAATTCAGCCCAGCAAAATTCGCCCTCGCTTTCAGGTAATTTCTGAAGCAGTGTCTTTGACAGATGAAGTATTGATGTGCGCCATCAGTTTGGATAGTCTGCTTGTCATGTTCGGGTCAGTCATGCTTTGTATCATGAGAGCACTGATACTCATACACATTACAGGTTCTCCGTTTTAGTAGGTCCTATCAACCACATAAAACACCTTGTGTCCAAGGATCGACTACCATTCTCTGCTGTTTATTTCGGGAGTCTTGGACTGACGTCATATTTTTCACTTGGCGTATGTATCACCATTCTTGATTTCAATTATTTATTGACCTTTCTCGAATGTCAGGCTCATCCATGGCTTGGTTCTTTGGTGGTCCAGGTATGTCGTGGTCAACGAATCGGCCTTTCCTTATTTATTTTT